AGTTTCACACACTGCTTCCTCAGATGCTCTCAAGCCATTAATTCAGACCTGTTCTGACTTGTTAACCTATTAACAAGTCCCTCCTTGTGGGGGAGTTGGGGGGTGATATAAATTGGATTTATAAATAAATTAATTAATTAATTAAAGTTAATGAAGTGGGTATCATCAAAGTTCATTTCCCAATTCATTCATTTCAGTGCCTACTATCAGCTGCCAAGGTGCCTTTTAAAAATGAGTGCGGCTCACCTATGAATGTAATGGCCAGCACGTATGGTTTCAGCGGCGTCTTTCTGACTTCAGTTCTGTGAAAGTAAAAATGGTGAGCTAGCAACTGCATTCCAGCATATGATCATTTTGAAGGCAATCCTTGTTGATGCAATTTCATGAAACAGTTTAACTGATTCTTTTCTCACTTACGATAATACTGATATGCTAGCGAACAATAGGTCTGGCAGTAATCAGCTGTGTTTTGGCACCGGGCTCCCCAGAATTTGTATCCTGAGATCCGAAAAAATTCTAACATAAAAGTGGTCATCAGTAAGTTGTGATTAAATAGAGGCTCCCCCAAGGAAATAAATCACTGTGATTAGTACTTGTGGGATTTGGCAGCCTCAAAGTGGAAAAAATGGGATACATATATAGAGAGAGGGGGAGAGAGAAAGAGAGAAATCAGTACAAAACATCTAATATACAAGACCAATCAGTGACCATCAAAGGGCCTAGTTTCTATCACTGACTGTGTGGAGTATTAGATCAGTTATTCCCAAGCTGGCAAAATACACTAATGTATTGCAACAGAATGGCTACTGTGCTGTGACACAATTTCATTTAATAATTGAAGGTTGCATGCTGTGAAAATGAAGCAACCATTGATGATATGATTGCCTGCTGTTTCTCTGCACGATGTCCTTGCCTTCTTTCAATCAACTGTGTTGTAGTAAAAAAATTCCCTGCATTAGGTTAGATTGCCCTGCTGCACAGATCAGGAGAGGAAGCTGCTGTTTTCTGCAGGCATTACTGCTCTGGCCTTGTTTTGAATACATTAGGAAGCTCAGAACAAGGACTCATGCAAAGTCACAGGGGGCTGGACTCATAGAGATGGGGTAAATTTGTATCAAACGATTTATTATGCTTTCACTGTGCCATAAAATTTAACAAACACAAAACAGAAAAGCGCAGAGGAACCCAACAATAACTCTATCATAGAGTGCATGCCCAAAATAAGAAGAGCACCATTCATCAGCTAGTCAGAACAGACATCTGCTCTGAGGCAGGACAGGAACTGACAGCGGGACAACAGTACAGCTTTCTGATGGCTCGATCCTATGATGGGGAAAAGTGAAATAAATGGATGGTTTGGAGCCTGAAGGGGTTTGGTCCTCCTCTAACAAACTCCATTCTCAGAAGAGGTTTCCTCATATGAGGAGGCTTGGATGAGGTTGATTCAAGCACAAACAAACCACAGTAATCAACGTAGTACGCTGGGTACCAAAGAAGAGCTACCATCCATTGAGAGAAAGTCAGTTTTTATTCTATTAAACATTTCTTTAATAAAATTTACATATGAGAGAAACTCAGGTTTTGGTTTATTTCCTTCTGTTTTCCTTTCACAACTTGGTACTTCCTACCAAGCTGCCTTGGGTGTGGAAAGGTCTCCCCAAGGCCTCACCTGGAGTCCCATTTCATCAGCCTACTTTTTCTGAACCAATCCTAGCTTCATCTTACTTAACCTTCCATTATCTTCTGCCCACCTAAGAAGAGTCCTGCTGACTAGATCAATAGATCTTGTGAGTAGGACCAAGGAAAGAGCTCTCCCTTCCAACCACTTACATGGACTTCAAGGACGGTTTTCCCCAAGGGCTCTCCAGTCATCCTTGAGCCAGCAGAAGACAACCCTGGCATGAACTTTGCTGCCCCTGTCATACTTCTCTTGGCTCTGTTCTCTTTTGCCTCTGCCCCAGTCACCTGACTCCCCTCCAAAGGAATGGGGGACCAAGCCTAAGAGGCTTTATACATCTTGAGACTGTCCTTATATCATGCCAGAATAAGGGTAGATACACAAACCTGGATGCATGAAGGTTTCTGAAGCTGGCATGCAGTCCATGCCTCATGAATTCTTCACATATGCTGACCAAATTCACAGATCTTACTATGCCATAATTTGATTTGTTTGCCTTTTTTCTTAATGTGATGTATGAATCCAACCTTTCTGATTGATAAGCCAAGGCTTATGGCTTAGCGTTAGGTATGTACGAGGCCATTATGGTTTATTCAACAATGTTAAAACAAAGTATGACTTAGTGTGGTGTGTGAATTCAGCCAAATTATCTGGGTTTATCCCTAATGTTCTTCCTGTTTTTCTTATCCTAGATAAGGATCTTTCCAGGTGCTATCTCCTTTTGAGACAGGATTGTTTAAAAATAGACACGATAATTTTTGGTAGTAATTATGGAATTTCCCTGGAAGTGAGATATCAGATACATCCTAATTTTCCAATTTAGAAAAGAAGAGGAAACAAGAAGAGGCAGGCGACCATTGTGCCTCCTTGCTTATTTATTTATGAGTTATAAAATGGATTCTGATTCACTGGATGGTGAGATTTTGTCAACTTATTATATTTTTGAGAAGAACTGTTATATTCTTCTCTTCCAGTATAGTGTTCTGGACAGTCTACAGACTGTCTGCAGCCACTCACTACATATTTATATATTTTATTGGCTTGGATTGCTATATTTTGTTCTGTTTTTGAACAGAACAAGTATCTAAACATGAATATTGGTCCTACTCACAAGGCTAGCACCTTGAAGATGCTTCCATATGTTAACATCTTACTGACCATCAACATCTTGGAAGATATTATTTG